CTACGATGTGGAGAAGAACAACAGCCGCATCAAGCTGGGGCTCAAGAGCCTCGTCAGCAAAGGCACCCTGGTGCAGACCAAGGGCACCGGCGCCTCCGGCTCTTTCAAGCTGAACAAGAAGCCCGGCGAGACAAAGGAGAAGGCAACCAAGAAAAAGCCGGCGGCCAAACCCAAGAAGCCGGCGGCCAAGAAGCCCGCCAGCGCCGCCAAGAAGCCCAAGAAGGCAGCGGCCGTGAAGAAGAGCCCTAAGAAAGCCAAGAAACCTGCAGCTGCCGCTTCCAAGAAAGCAGCCAAGAGCCCCAAGAAAGCAGCCAAGGCAGGCCGCCCCAAGAAGGCAGCCAAGAGCCCGGCCAAGGCGAAAGCGGTGAAGCCCAAGGCAGCAAAGCCGAAGGCGGCCAAGCCCAAAGCGGCCAAGGCGAAGAAGGCGGCGCCCAAAAAGAAGTAAAACGCCTGAGAAGAAATTATAGAGTCTACTCATTTAAATAAACCCAAAGGCTCTTTTAAGAGCCACCCACTCACTCGTAAAAAGAGCTGGAACACTACGGTAATCGTAGCAACAGAACGAAATCTTTAAAAGGTTTTAGTAGCAATTTATGGCGAAATGAGGAAAGTTACCGTTCCCGGAAGAAGCGCGTTCGGTGCAGCCTGCAATGGGAGACCCGCGCTTGCTTTAAGAGGAAATGTTTTCCTACGTGCAATTTGGGAGCCCGGCCCTTGCTCCGCCCCCTCGTAATTGACCGGCGCAGCCGGGAGCGGTAACAGGAGGAGGAGGAGGCGGCAGCGGCGGCGCCGACCCCGTGGCACAGCGAGCGGCTCTCACTGCTGGTCCCCGGCGGAGTTTAAAAGTCCCGCGCTGGGCGGGGATTGGCCCCTTCTGCCCGTCCAGCCCCGCCCCCTCTCCTCCAGGCCCCGCCCCCCGGGCGGTGACTCCCCCTCCGCCGCGGCACCGCGTCGGCGCCTCCTTCCCCTTCTCACGGGTTTCGGGGCCGGGGGTGGTGCGGGTGGATGGGGATGGGGAAAAGCGTATGCCGCGCCCCGGCCCTGCGTTTGCCCTGCCGGAGAGAGGGTCCTCGGCAGCGCTGCTCCGGCGGGCGGAACTTCCCCTTCGCACCGGGGCAGGAAAAGCTGCAGCCCCTCTTTCCCGGACCCCGGGTAGCCTGCGCACCTCCGGCCGCCCCCGGCTTCACAGCCACGAAATACTAAACTGCGCAAGTTTGGACATTGGGTGTTTTAAACCGCAAAACTCCTCGTAAAGAGAAGCCTTTCCTTATCTACAATCGAGTAGAGGCAGTTATTTCATTGAAAAAAAAAAAGAAAAAAAAAAAAGGGGGGGGGTGGTGGATGAGACGCACACTGTAATGTACAAAAACCCCCAGAAACCGAGCTGCAAACTGCTACGGGCAGGCTTGCTTCAAGAAACTGCTTTAAAAGTATTTATTAGTCGCTGTAAGACAGAGAACTAAATTTTTTTTCATTTATTTATTTTAGAGTTATAAGGCAGAGAAAGCGAGGTCTGAATAGCAGCCAGGATTTTCTATCGGACCCATTAAGTACAGAGGAATTAAACCCCTTAGACAATAAAAGACGACCTGCCTTTCCCCCGCGGGACCGCGGAGCTCCGAAAAGAGAGATGGTAAAACAACAGGACTAAGACATCGCTGCTTTTTAGTTGTGTTTAGTCCAGAACCAATAGCGCGCACTCATTTCTAAGCTTTAAATAACCAAGTACAATTCTGCATACTGAGTACAGGCTGTTAACTGAGGGACCCCCCCCCTTAAAAATTAAGAGCTTGCCTTTCAGCGATTAAAGGAAGCAAGTACTTAACTTTCCAGTGACGTACAAACAAACAGGTTATTTACATACCTCAAGAAAAAAAAGGTAACTCAGCTCTCCTACGTGAAAAAAATTGGTGGCTCTTAAAAGAGCCTTTGGGTTAAAACTGGCGGCGCGAGACACTCTACTTGGAGCTGGTGTACTTGGTGACAGCCTTGGTGCCCTCGGAGACGGCGTGCTTGGCCAGCTCGCCGGGCAGCAGGAGCCGCACGGCCGTCTGGATCTCCCGCGAGGTGATGGTGGAGCGCTTGTTGTAGTGCGCCAGGCGCGAGGCCTCGCCGGCGATGCGCTCGAAGATGTCGTTGACGAAGGAGTTCATGATGCCCATGGCCTTGGACGAGATGCCCGTGTCGGGGTGCACCTGCTTCAGCACCTTGTACACGTAGATGGAGTAGCTCTCCTTGCGGCTCTTCTTGCGTTTCTTGTCGCCCTTCTTCTGCGTCTTGGTCACCGCCTTCTTGGAGCCCTTCTTGGGCGCGGGGGCGGACTTGGCCGGCTCGGGCATGGCAGCAAACGCACCTGTCAGTGAATAATTCGACTCCACCCAGCCAATCAGAACGAGCTCTTTCGATCACGGGTTCGGTGGCGAAGCTCGTCCGCTGCTGTCCGGCCTCGCCCCGCCCCCGGGGTCACCGCGGAGCACCCGGGCCCGTGTGTGCCCTGCAGCCGCCTCCTCCGGCGGAGCTGTACGTGCAAAGCGTAGTCATCGGCAATTTCTCCAGGAAAAAAAGAAAAAAAAAAAAAAAAAAGAGAGACTAGCAAGGGGTTTTGCTACACTTTTGCTCCTTCAAAAAGGTATACCTGCATATTTGACTTAACAGCCTACATTTGTAACAGCCACAAATTACATATAAAAGGGGAAAAAAAAAAAAAAAAAAAAATTTTTTTAAAAAAAAAAAAAAAAAACAGAAAAGATATAGAGGCTCTGGAATACTGAGTTTTCTTAAATGGGTTTGAAATTAATTCTTCTGGCCCACAGAATATGGCTGGTGTTCAGGACTTTAAATGAGGTGAAAGTTCTGATTTAGTGTGTCAGCTGAAAGAATGCAGGCTTCTTTTGGGATGTAATAAAGATCGGATGAACTTCTTGAAGTCAAAGCAAGATATTCCTTCTAAGAAAAGACGAATCATGGATTCAAATTGAATTTTGAATTTATTATGAATCAGAAGTTCTGGCTGTTTTCTCGTCAAGTTGATTTAATTGTTCAAGAAGAAAAAAATAATTGTTTAAACAGTCTAACACGATCAGTGGTATTAAGAATTCTGATGCAGTTTTGTTGTTTTTTTTAAATATATCATAGAGGAAGTGTTCTTTAATATAGTATTAACCTGTAAATTTAGAAAAAGGGTAATCATGATGTTTTTAAATTAAAATTCTCTGTGGCCACATTATAAATTACAGTTATAAATTAATTCATTGGTAAGAGAGAATGCTATGATCCACATTTAAAGGGATCAAGTTAATTTGTGGTTGAATGACCCCAGGACTGGATAACTTGGTATCATATAGCCAGTGCTGTCATGATGCTAATTCCTTTTGGAACTTTCAAGGGTTGTTCAAACTCTGGACTTTGTTGGTATCAGAGGAGACGGATGGCACGGGCCTATACAAGAAACTCACCTGGCATGGGTAAATGTCACTTAAGGTGAGTGAGACTGCTTAAAACGCAACAAAACTAAATCTTCAGGGACATTTGTAAGGATAGTGACAGAGATCCTGGATACTGGTGGAAGCAATAAAAAGTTCGTTCACCTTACGGAGCTGGTTTTGCTTCTGCTTTTTTTCCTTTTACCCTGCTGAGGATAACTCTGGATGCAAAAAGATTTCCAGCCTACATCCAAAATAGTGCTGTCTGAAGAGAGGGAGCCAGATGACGAAAGAGTGGGACCTTTCTCCTTCCCGGTGAGCGAGGCTTGCTTGCAAGTGCTTCTGCTGTGCTCAGCACCTAAACTGGGGGGGCACAAAACCAGCCACCTGTGGTGAGGGGAGCAGCTTCATGCTGGCTCTGTGATACTGCGGCACTCTGGTTTCATGTTCACCTCCCCCAGCTCTGCTCTCTCTCATCAGGAACGGGGATGTGGTGAGTGCTCATCCATCTCCATTTGCACTGCTTCCCCCACAGCTGCTTTTAGCAGCTCGATCAGCTCGGAGAAAATCCGGTGAGGCAGGAGGGAGCTCTATCTGCCTTTCCAAGAGAAGAATATTCCTCTTTTTCAGCGAAGAGGGAAGAGAAGCCCGAGTGACCCACCTCTAATCATTTAACTCCTCCCGTATGCTGTGAACCTGATGACTTTCTTTTGGCATAAGCATCGCCTGGAAAAGCAGTTCACTGAGAACACCTCTGCCTGATAACTGGAGCGCTTACGTGAACATATGTGAAAGTCCACGACCTGCCATGCCATTCTGGGATAGCGTGGCATAGCATCTCCAGTTTTGTCTCCACAACAAGCAGATGAAGGCTGTTGCTCTTATTAAACTGTTCTGAATAACAAAGAATAACTGGGCAATCTGAGAAATGTAATGTGCATGGGTCCAGAAAGCAGAGGCGTTATAAACAAAAGACCCCCTGCCCCAAAACAAACCCAGCTCCTGCAAACACCCCCCTCCCCACATTAATCCTTTTGAGTCTGTTGATCAGTTCCAACAAACAAACAAACAAAAAAAAAAAAAAAAGCAGAAGTTGATTCAGGTCTCAGAGATTCTCAGTTCTAAGAAATTTTGTGAAGATCAGCTACGGACTAGAAAGAAATGCAGTTTCGAGCCTCTGTCGAGGAAAGGTGGCTGCTGTGAACTGAACTGCTACTGCTTGGTTCTGCCTTCCAGCTAAAAAATCTGTTAAAACAAAACAAAAAAACCCCCCCAACAAACAAACCCAAAACACAAACCCTCAAAAACAACCACCGGAGGCTACTCATTCCTGGTGTAGTGTGGTTGTGTGTGCTGCCCCGTCACAAACAGGTACGACTTGGAGAGTGCTGAAGGCGAAATAATTGGGGAGGGGAATGGGAAGAGGGTTAGAAGATATTTGTAAGGGAATTCAATTTCTCAGAAAGAACAGATTGCGGAAACCTTATCAATAATGGCAGAAAAGCTGAGTTTTCTGCACTGTTTAGCTGGGGTGTATGGAAAAGAAATCTAGAAATTTGTATTTCTCTCAACAGTCCAAGAAAACCCATTTTCAGTTAAGGAAATGGATGGGAACTTGTTAACCACCAGTCACTCATCATCCACACCACTTCGATAACAATGGAGTTTCTAGTGACCGACCAAGGCTTTGGAGCATCCAAAAGAAATAATCCTTCAGAGTCAGGAAATCTAAGTCTGATGGGAGGGAACAGAGAAAAGGCTTCAAAGAACAGCTCTGGAACAACTCAAAGAACATCATCAGACTTTGAAGGAGTCACCTGCCTATTGCATGTTACCGACCAGTATGAATTATGGCATTTTTTTCCCCTGGTTGGGGTATTTCCTCCAGGCAAACATGTTGTGCTACAGGCTGTCAGTTTTCTCCTGTTCAGGTAACTGCTCCAGCTGAAAGTTTCTAGCCGGTAATGGGAAGACATAAAGGTAAAACAGCTGTTAGTGTTACGCCACTGCAGCTCCTGGGTGTCGTCTGCATAGATTTTTCTGGAAAATGCCCTTTCTTATTCTGAAATCTCAAGGCAGAAAGATAATCCTTTTCTGTCTGTGCTTACTGCCTAAATGGGCTTCGAGGGGAAAAAAAAAAATATGGATTTTTTGAGTAGTATCTTGGTGTTCTGCAGTATCCCACCTCTGCAGCCTCTTCAACCCAAAATGCTGGAGGACCACTTATCTGATGAAGGAAAGTCAGAGAGCTGTGTATTATCCCCGGCTTACAGACTACACCTTGGCAGTACCAAAAACACCGGAAAAGCAAATGAACAGAAACCATTAACCAAAACAAAGAAGCAGAGACAAAAAGATAGGCCGTCAAGAGTAGTAGGATAAGCGTTAGAGATCGATTGGTTTCAGAACATCGTTTTAGTGCTGTCTATTCCACTGTGGTAATACAGAGAAAAGAACCAAGAAGTCCCATGAAGAGTTACAGAACAACGAGATAATAGCACATAGAATCAGGTAATATTACAGTTACATTGATGACAAAGCACAGCTCTCAGCGGTTCTGCCTATTTTGGAAAATTTCTGAAGTGCATGATGCACCTTAGACTTACATTTGAGAAGTCTGGTTTTAAGGTTATGGGTAAGTATTGTAGATCTTTCAGCCATTAAGACTGAAATATTAAACATAATTGTATTAAATGCCGCTTATATTGCCATTTATAGCTGCAAGTTTTCTAGCCTTGTAAATTGCTGAGTGTCACTATTACTGGAAGACCTTATAAGCAGTAAACAATAAATACATAGGTACATTTCCACAGCATAAAATAGCTATGCTGAAAAAGCCACAAGATGAAAGTAAAGCATAAAGAGGGGAAGAAAAAGTTGCTATGCATTTTCTGAAATAAATTACATTTGGAAACCTGAGATTTCTTGACACGAATGAGGCAACTTATTAAAATGATGTTTTGTTTGCTCTGAGAGCAGGTATAGAACTACAATTTACAAAAAAAAAAAAGTCTGAAAAGTAAAACTCTGTGAAGAAAAAAAACAGCAAAAGGAATACTTTGAGATATTATGTACCGATAAAGAGCAAGGCCATGACCATGAGAAACACAAGACATATCTTTAAAAGCACCTGAAGCAATCTAAATTTTTTCGATGGGTACATTAATAAGATAAACAAAGCAGTTCCTTCATCAACACCTCAATCCATAAGCACAGAAAAGCCGCATGATTGTGCAGTCAGAGACGTGGGACTGATGTAACCACCTACAAAAAAAGGAACGTTTCATCTCCGTGGAAAAAAAAAAAAAAAAAAAGAAATGTATTAAAGGAGCTGCTCAGCACTCCTTATAAAACGGTGGATTTACTCGAGCACAGTGACCATCACGCCCGTGTCCACCCCCCAACCCCCCTCCCCCGCCCCGGTCGGGCTCTTTGTCGGAGCGCGGGGAAATGGCGGCGGCG